AATTCCATCACTTTTGATACGAGAAAATCCGTTAATCTTAGCAGACAATGATGCCGAAAAAGCTGAAGCTTTATCGGAATACTTTAGTAAAGTGTTTTCTATCGGTAATGAGGAACGACCAATGATTCGTTGCGACCGTGACGGCTCGCTGATGGATCCTGTAGTCATTGAGAAAGATACCGTTTTAAGGCTACTCCAGCATCTCAAACCTGATAAGTCCAGTGGTCCTGACGATATTCATCCTAGGATTATGAAAGCCATATCAGATGAAATTGCTGAACCATTAGCGATACTATTCGACATGTCTCTGAGACAGTCCAGACTGCCTAGAGACTGGAAAGACGCCATAATAAGTCCGGTGTATAAGACTGGGGGTAGGGATTTAGTCAGTAACTATAGACCCGTTAGCTTAACTAGTGCAGTTGTAAAACTGATGGAGAAAATCATTCGGATAGCTGTTATAAACTATGTTGAAGGGCAAAATCTTTTCTCCAGGGAACAACATGGTTTTCGGAAAGGCCTATCTTGCTTGACAAATCTTCTCATTGCACGAGAAGATTGGGCTGCGGCAAAGGATCGGAATGCTCCTGTGGATGTGATTTTCATAGATCTAAGTAAAGCCTTTGATAAGGTTTCCCACTCTGGTCTTAAATTCAAACTGAAACGTTTTGGAATCCATTATATAGTCATCGATTATATAGGTAACTTTCTCCATGACAGAAGACAAAGTGTAAGGGTTAATGGGGTTCTCTCCTCGTGGGTACCTGTAAAAAGTGGGGTTCCCCAAGGTTCAATCCTGGATCCTCTTCTCTTTTTACTTTATGTAAATGAATTGCCGACTGTAGCAAAACCATCCGTTCTACTCTTAGCTGATGACATAAAGATTTGGAGACCAATACATAGTATGTCGGATAAAATAGTATTACAGGACGATCTTAGCTCATTGGTGGCATGGTTAGATAGGTGGTCACTAGAAGTAAATCCTAATAAGAGTGTAGTAATGCAGTTAAATAACTCTGATGAATCGTATGACTATACACTATGTGGATTCGTGCTACCCAAAGTAAGAAACTATAAAGATTTAGTAGTCATATTAAGCAATTACCTCAAAACGACTAGTCACTGTGAGGCTGCTGTTGCAGAAAGCTATAAGGTATTATGGTATATTCGTAGGTATTTTCAGTATTTAGATGATGAAATGTTTAGATTATTATGCCCGATTTATGTGCGAACACGTTTAGAATATGGGATTCAAGCGGCGAGTCCTTGTTTCAAGTATGAAGCAGATATGCTGGGAAGATTTCAACGACGAGGTACTAAGATGGTACAAGATCTATCTGGCCTATCTTATGAAGACAGACTGATACACCTTGACTTATTTCCGTTATCTTATCGTAGAATACGGGATGATTTAATATTGGCCTATCGTATAATGTACGATGACCTTGGTATTAACATGTCTTATCTTATGCTTCCGCCTAGAACCGAACATTTGAGAGGACATTCGAAGATAATTCAAAAACCGAAATCGAACCGTTTACGTCTGGAGTTCCGTTTCTCGCACCGAGTAGTGAATTACTGGAATTCTCTACCGGAAAACGTAATATCAGCACCTTCTGTTAATATATTCAAAACGAGATTGGACCTCCACAGTATTACAAACATCAAGGATTAATATAGTTTGACAGACCTCCTATCCTTATTACTGAAGACCCATAGCTCCAAGCAGTAACGTAAATATATTAACGTTCGAAAAGCGCGCGTGATTGTAGCACCTTACCACTTTGGTCTTCTTCAGTGAGTGAGGGCGAGGTCCAGCAGTGACGGACCATGATTGAAATCAATATGTGTCGGTTTTGTGATACATTGTACAAGCGCACATTGAATAACGGTAGATAAAAGTTCGCTATCGAAACCACTTCCTGGAGCTGTAAGCTCTATCCAGTTGATATGCAGTGCGTTGATGTCCCAAATGATGAGACAACATTCTACATTACTCCAGGAACAGATGTGTCTTAGGATAAAGTCATCAGCAAGACAAAACGGACTGCGGTATATTCACGCTATAGTCACTAACCCACTTCTAGACTTAATCTTACAACATGCAACCTCACATGTACCACTAACATGAGCCTCCGATATGGTTGATTGTATACGAAAGTGACCGCTAACGTATAATATTATACCCCCCCTTTTCGATTTGAAACTCTATCACTTCTGATACAAATATAACCTGCAATGAAAGGAGAGCAGTCTATATCTACTGTGAGCCAAGTTTCTGTAACAACGATTATATCGGGACATAATTCTTCCACCATCAGACTTAGCTCGGACGTTTTATTTCTAAGACTACGAGCGTTCGTGTAGCACACGCTTAAGGTGTTTTGGCAATCAATCGTTCTACCCATACAGGCCTCGGAAGCATTGGCTTCCAAGACCTGACTACCCGAAAACCCTTAATGGTAAGGTTATTTTCGCCATTTAATTTGCGAGTCCTCAACTCCGTAAGAGCATTCTTCCACTTGATTCGATCCTCAAGCGGCTAATCTGGTCGAATACGGATATTTGAGCCACGAGTTTTTGGTGCGTTTTTCAATAATATGTCTCTTTCATCAAAACTCCCGTGAACCAGCTTCAGGATTCTTCTTGGTTGAGTCTCGCCTCCAACCCATTTACCGAGTCGTATTACTTTTGTAATATGTACCCCTGAAACCTCTTCAGGTAGCACATTTCTTACCACAGACTCCACTAACTGCAGGTCATATGCATGTCTTCTAGCAGGGTCGTTATCTTTCGACTCCTCTAGATTCCAAATAATTAAGCTAGGAAGGGGTTTAGCTTCCTTTGAAATTGTGTTAACAGCTTTCGACCGTGACGATAGATCCTGTATATTAACTACTGGTATCTTACGATTAGTTTTTATTGTAACAGAGTCCTGAGAGTCGAGCGAGTGACTCACAACAGTGTTAGACGAAGCTTGACTATGGGACTTTGGCGGAGTGGTCTGAGAGTCCACCAAGGACTTATCAAGTAAACGGTCATTAGTTTTAGCTGTCATTCTTATTCTTCTGCGTTTCCGTGTCATCCATATACCATCAGTCGTAGCATCCACATTAGAACCATTCGGGACAGTAATTGTTTTATCTGGGTCAACGGTTGCTGCTGCAGCAACATGGCCACCAATATGTAATGAGGTGTCTCTCATTGATTGTTTCGGCGTAGACGGTTTAATAGCGGGTCGCACAGTTAGATGTCTGGCTTGCGCCGTGACAGAACTTACGACACTAACGAAATCTTCGCCATCAGTACCAATGTTGCCAGTACAGCCCTCATCTTCTTATTAGCCAACACCAGGAGACTAATTGCTTCCTGGATAAGCAATGATTTGCTCGAGCAACAAAAACTACGGAGCCAATGAGAGTTGAGCTTTGAGCACCTTTTATATGCAGTGGGGCTTAATTGGATGCACATCTTATGAAACCACTTATTACACTCATCACATTCCATTTCTTCCTTCACGGGAAATAAGCTATATGGTTGTCCACATTTATGAGATCTAGCCATCTTGAAAATCAACTAGAACGGTGACAAAAACAGGATAGGTAAAAGGATTCTCAAACTCTAAATAAATCAAGCAAAAGTCGACCAAGTATGCTTCGATGCAATAAATACACAAAAGCAAAATCGAAACACTCAATACAATATCGCTTTAACTGGGGTAGATGCAATTGAAGTGTAAACAGTAGTTCTGATGCGTAATTTACGATCAAAATAGTTAATTAACTCAACGAGAAACAATACCACTGTCCTTTTAAATAGAGCGCGGCAGAAACCAATTGTACCTATATGTAATCACATTAAAATGCTTCATCTTATCTTGTGTGTAATATTGTTTACGAAAAAATGTCTGCAATCACCATGTACTGCTTATTTGAACCAATTTTACTGAAAACGCCCATTCGTGTGTGCGTCCTAGGCTACTATGCACTGCGTGAGATCACTGGTTTGTATGTAGCCAAACGGCAGAATGCTATCAACACCTTTTCAGGGAATCAGATAACGGAAAAATAATAAATTGCCTTTTTTTGTTCTAGCAGTCAGATATAGTTGTTAGGATCCTTACATTATACCTGATATCATTTCGTAGCGAAACAATTAAGTGATCATAATTCCTCACACCAAATCGTAACTTTATTTTGATATTTGGTAAATGAGTGTGAAGCTTTCTCGTTTGTTCGTCTGGATAATACGATATCCGTAATTACTAGTACCTATGCTTCTACTCCAGCCATCGGCCCTAAGTAGAAGCATGTTCGCTAATTGTACGAACACCGTTCGTTGTTCTGATGAAAAATGAGCTCTAAATTAACGATTTCTATGTGTTGTCTATTACTGTTTCCCTCGTTCATTATACATACATTAAAGTGTGATTCTACCAGTTTCTATTTGCGCATTAATATTCGTTCCTACGTATTATATCATTTTGATGAAGTTCTTGATTACAGGTACAATCTGGGCTGTATAAATTTCTGTTTTGAAACTATTCCGATATTTGTGTGCAAATTTCCATTCATTCAGTACATCTTCACTAATCAAACTGTTGTTGCGTGTAACGGATGAAATATAGTTGCGTGGGGAAGTTTTTTCTCTAACAACCTGGTATCTGATGGACACCAAATGCCAGTGACATCATGCACTCATTATTATTTATTTTACTGAATCATTTCGAAAACATCAGCTCCCTATATTTTGCGTTTGTCTAGATTGATCACTCATTTGAGTTTTATCGTTGAACGAAAACCGAATATTAACAGTAATATACAAATTCACTGACAAGAATAATATTTTCCTTTCATTGAAATTTACAACACGATTAAGCTATATCCACTCCGACAACGAGACGTGAGTATATGAAAACATTTACCCCTAAGTAGATGCTCTAAATTTGTGACTCTTATCATACAAATAAACTATCGAATTAATTTTTAAATGGTTAGGTTGAGATATTAGCCTGTATTATCCATCATTTACCTAATTCATCAAAGTGTCCAACCCATCAAACAGTGTAATTTAAAAAACAAACAAACATTATCTTTTGAAGTCACATAACTTAAAAAGCTTGGGAAAAAAAAAGAATCATTTGTGGTCAAAAAAAGGATTAGGATAACATTCTAAGATGATATTGACAAAACCAGATCGAATTGAGTTTGAAAAAGTTGACTATATTGAGAATATCAACTAATTAATCTGTTTTTTTAAAATGATAGTGAAAAGACTTTATCTACACTGAGAAACAAAAGAGAAGAAAAAAACAAAGAACAATTTAAGAGCTGAAAATAAACGACGTTAACATTGGATCTGAGCAACTTTAAAGGATGGATTTATTATAACAAATAGTTATTAGATTCATTGAATATTACGTAAGTAAATGAATAAACAAAAAAAGAAAAACAGGATTAAAATCAAACTTATATGCAATCATGGCATTAAATTGTTGTCATAACAACAACAACAACAACAGTTAAAAAGAATAATATAGACCCTATTGTTATTAATAGTAGTAGTAATAGTAGTAGTAGTCAGGTAGGTAGGTATTAAGAAAGTTGATAAAAATAGACTTTTAAAAAAAAAATGAATATGGAGTTCATAAAACTTATTTTTTATAGATATAAAAGAACCGAAATCTGATCGATATAACTAACGTATGTATCATACAAAGTAAACAACAATGATGATGTAATGAACGTATTATCCTTTATTTTCAGGCAGTTTATTTATGATACAATTCTGAAAATAAGGCACCAAGACTCCAATTGATTTCAAAAGAATTGACTTTTTTAAAAAACTGTAGAGCAAAAAAAAGAAAAAGGAAAGTTACAATTTATTTATTTACTTATTTTAACACAGATATTGGTACAAGGAGGCACTAAATACATACGCGCCACGCAAATCTCATTCGATATGTGTGAGGGCTGTGATACTACCCGGGTGCCCAAACTGAAGCAGATGGTTTTCTTAGGGGGCTACACCCCGAGCCTTTGACTTGGAGGTCAAACCCACAAGGCAGTGGAGCATCGTAAGGAGATGCAGTCCCATGGTAGCCGGTGACCAACGATTGGTTCATACGCCATTTGTTCCCTCAGGATACTGGAGCCCATGCGCAACATTGATTTGGCCTGGGATCCGGTTAAAGCGCCGGACATAATACATATAGTTACTATTATATCTAAATCTTAAACTCATTTAACTCCATCTAGAGCCGTTCTAAGGCTACTGCCGGTTTCAAGCCCGGATAAAAGAAAGAGGAGGGTTGAGCATGGAGGTAAACTACCTTATACTGTAGAAAACGACCTCGCTAAAAATAAAACGCTAACCAGAAAAAAACATTCAAACCATATTTAAAATAGTTCAAAACTAAGTTAAATGAATTCGTTTCAAATATGCACATGTTATCAGTTGTTGGTTTTTTTTATTGGTAATTACTATCAACACATTACTACTCATAAATAGAGTGTTTCTATGATTCATAAGAAAAATTCAAACAAAAGAGAAACATATGACAAGAATGAATAAATGGATAATCACTTATTCATTTACAATAAAGTCGTGAGCTAGTCAGTCGAACGCTACAAACAACCTGATCCATATGTATATTAGTTTAGGTTGTCATAATCTACTGACAAAAAAAAGAGATCAAACTCCAGGATAGTAGAGGTGGTAACAGTATCAGTGGTAATAAAAAAAAAGTTAGACATCGAGGATATGACTCGGAAAGAAAATATAAATTAGTGAAATAAAAACACAAAAAAAAGAAATTATGAGGAACTGAGAATCTCAGAATTTGTGGGTTGACAAATATGATCCGATACATTTCTAACTCTAGCCATTTCGTAATATTGGAGATTTAAATGAACAATGGTTTTATATGACTTTGGATAACTTAAGTGTGACTGTTTTGAAAGATTGTTAAAGTCAGTCAATTTGTAAGACCTTCCTTTTTGTTGGGCACAGAACAATTTAGTAGTATCAGAAAGGGTTTTGTGGAGATTGTAGTAATTTCAATAGTTGAGATCATGAGTCAATTGAAGCTAGACCACTAAGAAAAACCTGGAAGGTCCTGGGTTCAAATACCACGAGGCAGGGTCGTGAATACGCACTGCTGAGGAGTCCCACAATAGGATGAAACGGTCGTCTAGTGCTTCTAGGATTTCCATGGTGGTCTAACTTCAACTGACTCATGATCTTAACTATTGAAATTTCTTAGCACATTAAGTATTTCAGCTACTAGCCTTTGTTTTGAACCATTTTAATAGTCAGTCAGTCAGCTACAACGTAGGACTAGACACATACATGCATCGGTCAAAGTTGCCATGCCTCATTAACACAACAAGATGGACACCGGATTCATAAAAGTAGTTAATTTACAGGTGGTAATATATAAAAGGAAGATGGCAATAAGGATATAGTAAAGGAATAAATAATTAGTTCGTAGAAAGATACGAAGCGATTTTAATCTCTTAGTTTAAGGGAAGACAGAGAGTGTATACACCCACACCATTGTGATCAATTCTGAGCCATGTCACCAAGAGTCTCCAACCATTGGTTACGATAGTCATGAGGACCCCAACCAAGTAGTCTGCATCTACCAACATGGCTCAGACCAGAAGTCAACACCTGAACTAAGGATAGGGAGTGAAGTAGTCGAACGCGTTGACAACTTCACTTATCTTGGAAGTCTGATCAGCCCTAATAGGTTGGTGTCTGACGAAATCTCAGCACGGATTCGAAAAGGTCGTTTGGCTTTTGCCAACTTACGTCACCTATGGCGTTCTGTTTTAATTTATAGCAGCGAAACATGGCCATTAAGAGTAGAAGATACCCGTAAGCTATCAGTATTCGACCACAGATGTCTTAGAAATATTGCTCGCATTTGCTGGGACCACTAGGTAAGTAATAGCGAGGTTAGACGTAGGGTATTAGGGAATGATGGTAAATCAGTTGATGAGGTTGTGAATCTTCATCGACTGAGATATTTGGGCCACGTGTTACGTATACCTGAACACCGATTACCATGACGTGCGATACTAATCGGTGTTCGAATGGTTGGAAGAAAAATAAGGGAGGCCAAACAAAAAACGTGGTATCAGTGCTTGAAGTCACTAACAATATTTGTAATAATGATTTGATGGTCGTCAAAAAATGGAATGTAGATTCTCACCTTCTTCAGGGTTATTAGATTGTTTCTATATAGCTGATATATTATTAGAAAGAGGTTATGAATCAACAATCGAAAAAACGTCATCTTTATATCATAATGTGTTTGCATAATCAGATATGGTTACTTGAAATTATCTACAAAATCTTTATCAAATTTAACATGAATACATCTTCTAAAGAGAAATATGCTAATTAGATTCATTCTTGTCGATTTGAAGTCAGTAGATGACATAATCTCTCACATAATCAAATTATAAAATTTATTATCCAATTAATCTATTTTTGATGTAATAACATGACGACGTATAACTTTTTTGCACTTATTATTCAATGATTTTTCATGAGTACAATTAGATGATAAATAGTGTACTGATGAAGATATGATCAACAATCAATAAATTAATTTAATAATTAGAATTGTTAATTAAATTAAATAGAAATCAATAAAATGGAAAATGGTTAATTAATTAGATAATAATTTTTTAAGAAAAGATGGATAGTAGTTAGTATTGGAATTCAGGATACATATATTTCAATCTATTTGGGAATCGTCAGCTGAATGTACCTGGATCCTAGAGTTGATGTTCAAGTCCCGTAGTGAACATCAAATTGGAGATGCAGGTACATTCAGCTGATGAGTCTCAAAAATAGAACGAAATGCGAGTTCTGCATTCCACTGACAGTTATAATCCATCTTTGCTTAAAAAAATTGTGACTTAAGGCTGTATCCAGGCAATGCGTACAGGATGAACATACGCTAACAAGAGATTGATCAATTGCAATCTTAAATAATAATGGGAAAATACAAGTGAAACAACGCCAAGTCATTAGATAGTGGTTATGATCATACATACATACAAACAAACAAATAATATATGTCAAAGAAAACACATCACCTATTTGAATGATCAATGGTTTACACTTAGATTGTATTATTTATTTTTCATTTTCATATTCAAAATTCAACCACTACAGACTGAGAAAAAAAGATCTTTCAAAACTTATTATCATTAACTAAAAAGTGAAACTTACTCCAATTTTTTTATCTGATGGGAACCCATAACCACTATGCAATAATGCAGTGATAAAACTAAGATCCATGCAATCGAATGGTTTCTGGGGATTTGGGTTACGACAAACTGTGAAGATGATGATGATGACATCGACAGAAATGCGATAGACGAAGGGGACATAAATGGGAACGAAAAAAATATTACAAATACACTGGAAGAAACGAATTTCTTTAGAATTATTTACTGTGTTTGTTTTACTTAGAATTCACAAGATAGTAGTAGGGTTCTAATCCCGATCCACCTATTTTAGTTTGAGCAAATGGATAATATTATCATCAGCTCCCACACTTAGAATGTGGTTCATGCCCAAGTGTACCAAATGGATGAGTTGATAAACAAAAATAAACTTTGAGTTCAAGTTACGGTTGGCAAGAAGTAAGTTTTTAAAAACATATACACACTTTATGCAGATGGTTACATCATGATCGCTTTCACTTATTTCAATCATTGATAAACTGTTAACAAGAATAATCGATCACTATATGGTAATGATCTAAATGATTTGTATGCATGTTATACTTGCACGTTATGCTTGAATTATATGAAATGACGAAATCTCCGCCTGAAGTCCCTCCTGGGGTTACTGCCGGTCCCAAGCCCGGATAAATGAGGAGGGTTGGGCATGAGGTTAGCGTCCCCATCCCGTAGAAAACTAACTCGCTAAAAAACGCTAACCAGAAAAAACTATTCAAACCTTTTAAACTCTTCCCTGGGAGTCAGAAGGTCTTCATTTAGAAGAATTATGACGCCTCATGATGAAAACCGAGTTCCTTCGAAAGTTACGAGGCCGACGGCTCTTCTGACAACCAGAGCAATCTTTTATTTAGGTCTGCGGCCTATGTTCCATTAATAGTAACAGGCGTAAGTAAGTAAGTACGAAATCTATTCACTACTTTATTTCTATACTGTTTATTGTTTTTGTGCTTCACGAAAATTGAACAAGGGAACTGGCTATACTATTAAAAAAGAAGACTAACTTATCCATGATGAAAGAACAATGGAATATTGTCCAAATTAGTCAGCCTGTCTATCATTATCAACACTTAGGACCTGAGAGAAATATATGCAACGATTCAAACTGTTATATCATGACATTATACTCCAACGTTACACACTTTAAAACTCATACGGTTGTAAACAAATGTCGAGAAATCACGAAATAAAATCAAATCATATTATTCTCCTTTAAATGTTGTTCCGATTTTATACTTATTCATCATAAATAGAATCAACTGTATGAAATCTTCTTTGATATTCCCTCATATGTACAAGTAGCAAATGATTTATCATAGTTAAAATCACAATTTAATTTAAGATAGACCATCATTGAAAACACAGAAACACTGGACGGCCGTTTTGTGCTAGTATGAGACTCCGTGTCCCGCGTGTGGGATCGTAGGTACGCATTGCTGAAAGTTCCATAGTAAGACAAAACGGTCGTTCCGTCAGGGAGCACTAGTTCCCTCAAGGTTACAGGTACACTTTGCTGACGAGTGCTGAGTAGCACGAAACCCGGGTCTAGGGTTTCCCGTCGACTACCTCCAACCACCATCTGGTCGTTCAGTGTCTTCAGGTTCTCAACAACGATCTAGTTTAAATCGACTCGTAGTGTCAACTATGAAAATACTACAATCTCTTTACAAATCCCTATATTGATAACAAACACATTAGCAACACTTCATAGAAGTAAATTATTTACACGTGTAAGCTTTATGTGTTAATTAACCAATTAGTTTCGAAGGATCAATTAGCCTTACTTTTATCAGTTAATTGAACGAAAGAAAGAAAACTCAAAGATGATTTTAACTAAACACCATTGAAATGTAACTCAGTGATCTCTCTCTCTCAACAATTCGCATAATGAAATAATCAATTTTGCTGGAATGAAATTTCACACACTCGTATATGGAATACATAAACAAGGGTGTATACTATTGTACTATAATTAATTTCAATCGATTAGCCTTAAAACTAAATGTAGAATGATCATTGAATTAAACAAACATAGGCTAACTGATTTAATATTTACAAAAGAATATTTAATTATTATTAAAGAAAACAAACATATATATATATATATATATATATATATATATATATATATATATATATATATATATGGTTGAAGAAATTGGATAGAAATGAGTAAAAATAATCTTTGTAGCTGATTGGTACTATTAGTCAATAAGGAGGATCATTTGTAATTTTGAAGTAATCCATACTGTCATAAAGATTTGAAGCAATATAGTGACATACAACGGTCAAAGACACTAATATTGAGTATTTAGAGTCTTATAAAGAGATGGGATTGTAACTTTACTTCAGTGATCGAAAATGTAATGAATAAAGCTCGAAATCAAAGCTAATCGGAAATTTAAGTGACTTAAGGCACTTAATTACACACATTTTTCAACATTGAGAATGGTCTAGCTAGAGTCTACTAAATATGTTTGTCGAATTTCAAGAATCAAGAAGGGTTTTATTTATTTGAACACGTAAATATCGGTACAAAGGGACATCGAATACATGTGCACCACACAAGTCACTTGATTTGTATGTGGGCTGTGATGCTGTACGGGTGCCAAAACCGAAGCAGATGGTTTTCTTAAAAGGCAACACCCGAAGCCTTTGACCTAAAGTTCTGATCCACAAGGCAGTGGAGCAACGTAAAGAGATGTTTACGAAATTGAGAGGAGGAAAAGCGAAACTTCGACGCTTTAATCGGGTTGGTGGATACAGAGAGTCTACCTAGGTGAGTTGGAAAACCCTGATTCTAAACCAATGGTGAATATGGACTCCAGTATCCTGAGGGAACAAATGGCGTATGAACCTACTGTTGGTCACCGGCCACCATGTGACTGCATCTCCTTACGTTGCTCCACTGCCTTGTGACTCAGACCTTTTGGTCGAAGGCTCGGGGTGTGGCCTCCTAAGAAAACCACAAACTGAATGATTTATATGACGCATATCTATTTGTTGCCTCCTTGTACCAATGTTTATGCGTTAAAATAAATAAATAAATTGTAATAAGATACATTTTTAAGTTTTGAATATAGCTGACATACTATCAATGATCACCTGGTATTTTTAATAAAACCGTTCGTTCATTTATGTTACACAATAATATAAAACTAGAGGACGATTGTTATTGGCTTCTATCTCGTTTAATGTTTGGTAATCACATTAGTTAGTAATTGATTAGTTAAGCTTTTTGGAAAGTTGTGATATGTTAGTAAGTGTTCATTTGAAAAGAGATTATTCTACGGAGTCGCACCGTCAAAGCAACCACCTCCGTTACTTCTACACTTAATTTTCGGTCCAAATCCAGGATAAAGGAAGAGAGTTGAGCATGAGGTTAGCGACCACATCCTGTAGAAAAGTAACTCGTTAAAAAAAACACAAACCAGAAAAAATAATTCAAACCATTTAAACTCTGTCCTGGGAGTTAGAAGGTCTACATTTAGATGAGTTATGACGCCTCACGATGAAAGTCGGGCTCCTTCGGAAGTCACGAGGCTGATGCCCTTTCTGACAACCAGAGCAACCATTAGCTACGTAATCGCTAAAACTTAAACTTTTAGAATACAATGGTGATATGGGATACAAAATAAAAAAACAACAAAAAAACACAACCTACCTCGTTCAGCAGCATTTTGAAAATCATTCACTGTAAGAAATCCACCAGTATTTTCATGTATTAAACCAACACTAACAGCTAAATCGAAATAATATGAAAATGCATAAAATTCACGTGTTTTCACTTCAACTGGTTGATGAACAATATTATTGTTTGGTGGATATCTGATAACATTTACATCACCTATAAACAATGAAAAAATAATAATAAATAAATTGATTGTTTATCACAATGGAAAAAAACAACAATAACAAACAAAAGTCACATTGATTAAAAGAAAACAAACCTGACAATAACCTTATTGAATGAAAGTATTTTCTGAAGAATGTATTATGTTAAGTCGTAAATTTTTATCTAAACTACATTCTTCAGCTGACAAGATGATCATAAAATTAATTTTTGATAAATTAAATAGGGAAGTATGGGTATGGGTAGGTAGATAAAGTAATGTCCTAACACTTTGAAGCAATCGATTTTTAATTATTAGGTTGTAAAGTTAACAGCTTAATTGTCTTGCCCAATTCATTCTAAGTAGTAGTTAGTTTTTTTATTGCTATTATTACCATATATACCAATAAAAACTATAACCGAACGTTGCTGCTACCTTGACATGGTGGTCGGGTTTGCCTATTGTGATGAACCAATCGGGATATACTGGCTGGAACAATCGTTCCTCAAGTTCCTACTATACCAGGCAGGTTGGTTAAAGAGCGGTAAGACTAAAAGCAGCAAATCTAAGGTCCAGAGGCGAAGTCGTACAGCTCACTGTGCAGAAGCGTGATGGCAGGGAGGTGTTTCCTTCAGACAACCAGCATAACAGCGATGCTGCCTTCCCACAAGGAGGGGTAGGGTTAGAAAAGGTTGACCCTAAAAATGCACACCTCGCCTTATCCCACAGATATCCGTCTCTGGCGATAAGGTCCCAACAAGTACGGAACTAACACGAAACTTACCCACAAAAAGGTCGTGTGTGACCGGCCTCTGGCAGTTGTCCCTTGGGCGCTGCGGTCACGCTCTCAGGTCACTAAGACTGTGGTGTGTGCTACTTATATTGACATAAGTACTATATGATGTTAACCGTGAACAGAAGGCCTGGCAGCAGAGACAAGAGGATCGAACAGTAAGGAATGGAAAAAGGATGCAGTTTGTATGAAAATACAAGAACAATGAAGTCTGAGTCATTTTGAGACAATCGGTGGATAGTTTGCAAATTAAGCATTTACTTAATGATTGTTAGATTTTATTAACAAGTCCTGTAATTTTGTGTTGAATACATTCGATTGTCCCCACCTACGTTCTGTTCACTACAAGACCACCTCTAATCCAATTTCCTTTTTAGTTACCTCCAGAAGAACCCTTTCACGATGTGAGCAACCGGGAAGTGATAACCACCCTCATACCTCTAACAGTACGCAAAACCACTGTATTCATAATCAACCTCCCTCTTCAATTCCTATTATTCCTCTTACATCGACTTTCAATGCTAAACTTCCTCTTTCGACTTCCTCCCCAAGTGTCACTATAACCAACGATTCTAGTGCGCAAAACACTGTCCCAGGTCTACTGAAACCTCGCTCCAAGCTACACATTGAAGCCTTCAACTTACCCTATGTCAAATCGGTCAGCAGATCTCCTTGTCTGAGACCCTAGGATCTTGTGCTATTGATGTATGCTGTCTCCGAAACACGCATACAGGATCCCAGTGTGGTCATTCACTTGACCTCACTTTGCCAAAACAGAGAGACGACGAGACACACCGTTTATCTGGCGACCCGGTTCTCCTGGACTGGCAGTTCTGGGCATAGCACTAAGTACGAGGGCAGAACAAGCACTATTAGATCCCTGTTAACAGTTGTCTATGTGCTGTTCGGCTAAATGGCTTTGTAAGAACTCGGAAGGAGAGGGACATACCTCGTTGCCTTTTCGTCATTTCTGTCTGCGCTCCGACTAACTGCAGCTCGGATGAAGTGAAAAATGACTTTTATAGAAAGCTTTCTGAACTTCTTCAAAAAGCTAAACACTCAGTCATAATACTCGTAGTAGGTGACTTTAATACACAATTAAGTAGCTTAAACAAAACAGAAAGACATTTAGGTGGGTATTTTGGTATTCCGGGTCAGAGAACGAATACTAGTGACCGTCTTCTGCAACTGTGCTGAGATAATCGTTTATTTTTAGCAAACACAAATTTCAAGCATAAGGACATCGTCTAACATGGGAACCCCCTACACCAAACGAACTGTGGACTCAAATAGACCTTATTGCCATCAGTCATCGTTGCAGAGACTCGATGGAAAATTGACGCTTGTTCTGGAATACATGTTTAGACTCTGACCACACTCTAACACGAACACGTATTTGCTTAAGCCTTACTGGCTTCAGCCATATTGGTAGACTCAGACTACTTGGTTTGGTCCGCGCCACTATCATAACCAGTGCTTGGAGACTCTGGGTGACATAACTCAGAACCCAACACACTCTCTATCTTCCTTTAAACGGTGAGATTAAAATTATTTTACACCTTTCTTTCCACGAACTAATTCTTTCTTCCTGTATCATATCCTTATATGGAATGTTTTTTACTACCATAGAAGTAACTGCTTCTATGAATTTAGTGTTCATCTTGTTGTACTGAGGTAAGGCAACTTGAACAGATGCATATATGTGACTGGTCCTATGTTGCAGATCACTAACTAAACTAAACAAATAGCTAAATTAGTACATGAGTATGCACAATTAGTTATTAACGCATAGTTGTATAGGGTTTTAAGATCATTCGTTAGCAATAGGTTATTTAATAAGATATGTGTATTTCTACTGTCTTTGATTAAACTATTGAACTATAACATAATATGAAGTATGTATATGTTCAAATCACTTTTTTCTCAAGTGTGCATTCTAAGCCTGTTTTTGTTATATGAGGTTTGCTTTCATTAAATAATTATATATGTGAGCCTCGTTAATTTACGCGGTTCATAATCTAACTGAAAACTAACTACTGATAAAGTAAAAAAAGTACCACCATGATTATTCAAATACTTTTTTCTTACTCTTTTACCACACTGAAAAAACAAGACGTTATCACTAATATGATTATTATATAATTATTTATTATTTCAACACATAAATATCGGTACAAGAGGGCAACAAATATATATGCGCCACGCCATATTTGTGTGTGTGGGCTGTAATACTGCTCGGGTGCCCAGACCAAAGCAGGTAGTTTCCTTAGGGGGCTACACCCCGAGCCTTTGACCTAAACGTCTGATCCACAAGGCAGTGGAGCATCGTAAGGAGATGCATTCCCATGGTAGCCGGTGACCAACGATTGGTTCATACGCCATTTGTTCCCGCAGGATACTGGAGCCCGTGTGCACCATTGGTTTTGGATCCGGTTAAAGCGCCGGACATTCGCTTTTCGTCCTCTCAATTTCGTAAACAACAGTAATGCCACGAGAAGGCAGTGAGTAGAACTTCCCTGGCAGAGGCTGTATACGCGTGACCGTGTGAGAGCATTTCGAGAGGGAGGGTGGGTCCACCCCACTCTCCGCCATACGAGGGCATTCGCGGGCATCACTCATATGATTTAAACACTGAACATACTTGACGACGAAGATAGTTGTTAAGAGTACAAGATTATTCATAAACATTTAAGACTGAATATGAATGACAGTTAATCATAGAATAAGAAATCTTTTATAGACAATTTTTAATTATTTACTGGGTAAATGATAAATAATGTGATTCAATATTGAATGATTTGTGCTGAAAATTCTTTATTTTAATTAAATATATATTATTGAATAGAACATATATTATTCATGTTCACTTGGTATTGTTTACTTTTATCTCCTATGCATCCCATGAGCATTGTCTCGATATAGCCTTAAGTCACAAGCTTTTAAGCAAAGAAATATAATGAAATCCAAGACATGTGTTTCATCCCATTCGGGACTGGATATACCTGCATCCCAGACATATTATTCATATATGTAAAGTGACAAGTTTTGAAAAAATAAAGGATTTAATTGTATTGTTGAATCCAAGTTACAAACATGCATATACATCAGTTAAGTATTAATCATAATTGTTTGATCAGTTCTATTCAAGAAATTATATACTGTCAGGTTATACGATTACACTTATGAACATGTCTGATATCACATTAAAATGAGCATTAAACCATGTCAGCTAAAAACATACATGTGTGAAGTATATTTTCATTGTTGTTGTTGTTGAGTAAGTGCAAAGTTTACAAATAGATAATACAGATGAGAAATCGAAATCTTTATTAATATAGACAGTAGTAGAAATAATGTAAGAAGTACATGTCAGAAAAGATGTATGAAAGTAGTAGGTTAGAAGAAAGCTAATGAGATCAAACTAAAATGTGGTGTCAGTTCATTAAGTGTCAATGACAGTCACTTTGAGACATGTCAGTAGATCCAGTCTGTTTAGCTTTCTGAATTTCACTTCTCAAACTATATTCTTAACATCAGAAGGGGTTTTGTGGAGATTGTAGTAATTTCAATAGTTGATATCATGAGTCAATTGAAGCTAGACCACCATGGAGAACCTGGAAGCACTGGACGGCTGTTTCATCTTATTGTGGGACTCCTCAGCAGTGTGCATCCATGACGCCGTCTCTTGGGATTGAAACTCAGGACCTTCTTGTCTCGCGCGCGTGTACTTAACCACTGGACCATTGAGCCGGCATCCAAAGGTGTTAATGTCTAACTTCAACTAATCCACAAAATTGAGCGATGCTCATGATTTCAACTATTGAAATTATATTCTTAACACTTAGTTATATTTCATTATCATTGTTTCGATGTTATTTCGACTCCCTTAGTATTCATCTAGGTAACTGATATGGTGTGGCAAATTCAGCCGATACATATTTGTACCATATTTTATGCTGCTTATGACTAACAGATACTTAATAATTGTCACACACACATATATATATATACCAGATTATATATAAGGTAATCAGATCGAATTTTGCTTACCTTCAACAGGATTTTGTAATACATTCACTGCTAAAGCATAGCACAACATTAGATGATCATTATCAATATTATTAGCATTAACATTGACCGGTTCAACTGCTGCTTGATGATGATAAATTGATTTGGTTTTAATAAATGATAATAAAGATTTAGACATTGAACGATTCATACGACTGATTTGCCAATCTTTACCGGCATGATTCCATTTAAGCTAAATAAAGAACAATGACAATGAATAGACAAAAATATACAGAAACCGACAACTACTACTGTTGTCCACTAATAGTTCTCAGAAGTTACTCGGAATTTAATCTTCGCTAGGATATAACAACTACTGTATTAGATTCGTATTTCTTGAAAAATATTACACATATATCATGTGATTAAACAAAATGAGATAATCAGTGCACGATTAAAAAGTATGATTCGGTTCAGATGAAACACTTAAAGTTAGAGTCCCATCAATAATCAAAACGAATATAAATTATTTTTAAAGACGTTTGATGATTGTTTTTGTTATATCGCGATGAGAATAATGAATGACGGTAACTGTCGAAATCTATTTCTAGACTAATACTATACGTATACTTTTATTGTATAATTGTTAAGTAGCTAAACTATGGATATTCATGTCCCTCTTATTATGAGCTTTATCTTGACCTATGAACTATTATTATAAGATTTACCATTCTTGAATTATGCCCTATTTATTAATTACTATCTCCCTTGTTCACAGCCACATTTGGCTAAATCTTGTACAAATGTTGTTTCTTATTTTATGGTACGATGTGATCTGTCTGGTTGGTATATAAACTCAGTATGCTTGAAATAAATGATTCATATATCAGAAGCTGAGATTGGTGTTCTGGACTTAGCTGGCTGGGCTAGGTAGGAAGCAGGACTGATAAGTACTCTAGACTGCTCGTATGGGTTTTATACGTCATTAGTTAAATCGATAATTCAGTTATATAATTGGCGGTATCATTACGTTATAAATTAATAGGACACAGGGCAAAAGTTATAACACTTTTAGACTTTGATTGTATGTAAATGATAGAACAGAGATTGAGTTCAAGTATTGTTAAGTGTTTACAATGTTTAACACAAGTGATTTTAAGTAGTTTCTAACCAATCACACATTCACACCAGTCAGTCAGCTAGAACGTAGGATCAGGCACATATGTGTATCGGTCCAAGTTGCCGTACCGCATTAGCACAACGAGATGAACACCAAATTCATAGAAGTAGTTAACTCAGTGGTGGTAATATATAAAAGAAAGATTGCATATAAGAACATAGTACAGGAGAAGAGAATTAGTTAGTAGAAAGAACATTCACACTAATCAAACATTGAATATTTGTATTTCATAAATTATGTTCCACAATTTCTTAACTTAATACTATGGTTATTATTATTATTGATCTTTTGTTTGAGGTCCTGTTAATGTTTACCTTTTTTGTTGTGTTACTATGTAGAGTATAACAACTTGACCTGATTCATACTATTTCCAGATCCTCGATCTTGATTATAACTGTTTTATGTCCCGAGAAACATAATGAATTATAACTTCGGGATCCTTTTATGGACCAATACTAAACATATATTTTTATCGTATAATCGTTAAATACCTAAACTATGTTCTCCCAAATTCTAGTTATCTGAATTCTTCATGCCCCTTTTTTTTCCTCTTTCCAAATTTATTTCACTGGATTATACTCGTTAAATTTTTATTTTATTTTATTTTATTTTAACACATAAATATTGGTACAAGAGAGCGCCAATATATATGCGCCACACAAAACAATGTAACTTCGAAGAGATAGAAAAAAAAAACTAAGGAGCACAAAAGAAAAAGAGAACGATAACGAAGAGATTGGTGTAATTTAGTGTGGTCGTAACAGTGGAACGGAAAAGTACAATCAGAAGAAATCTTTCAAGCGAGGGAGACACAACCACTTTTTATGAAGAAAGTAAAAGAAGGTTACAGCAGGATCGCCACTGGCTTCTATTCTGAGCCATATCTGATAACGTCTCTAGCCACTGTGTAGCACTATCTCTCAGACCCCAACCAGGGAGTCGTGAAGGACCAACACAAGCCAGTCCTCTGCAGCTTTCTTTCATACCACGACACCATGTCATGCACTGACCACCTCTCCGCTTTTTCCAACCAGTCCCAGAGTCGGCAAATAATGCACGACGTGGAATTCTCTGGGACGACATTCGTAGAACATGTCCAAGCCACCGAAGTCGGTGTTTCAAGATGGTGACACCAATTGAATTATCATCTCTGTGCCCAAACACATGATGCCGAACCTCTGCATTACTGACATGGTGTTGCCACTGAATATCAGCAATCCTTCGGAGACAGCGATGATCGAACACAGAGAGTCGTCTAACGTCCTCAACTCGGAGAGGCCAGGTTTCACAAGCATAGAGCAAAACTGCTCTCACCGACGCGTTGTAGATCCGACCTTTTACAGCCAGACTAACATCACGAAGGCGCCAAAGATGGCCCAGATTGGCATAAGCCACTCTGGCTTTCACTATACGTGCATTGATCTCATCACTCACACCCCCACCAGCACTTATGCAACTACCCAGATACACGAACTTCTCGACTACTTCTATCTGCTCACCATCCAGGGTGAGTACAGGATTGGAATCCTGCCAGTCTTGTAGAAGTACTTTGCACTTTTCGGTGGAGTGGTAGCTAGCCTAGAGGCTAACTCGGTTCGATACTTGTTTGCAACAGAAGTTGCAACCAGCTTGCTAACATCAATCCGTTGGTGGCGGTCACTTCGTTGTCCACTGAAAAGTAAGGCAAGATTGGCGCAGACCAAGGCATGGTCAGAGTCCAGATAGGTACTCCAAAAGGAGCGGCAGTCTTTTACACAACCACGCCAGCGGAAGCTGATCGCGATGTGATCAATCTGAGTCCAGGCTTGGGATGCAGAGGGAGGACGCCAGGTGGCACATCGGCGATGACTGTGCCGAAAGTTAGTGCTAGCCAGAAACAGGTTGTGGTCTGTGCACAGTTGCAGTAGACGGTCCCCGTTATCTGACCTGCGACCAACGAGTCCCCATCGGCCACCTAAACGACTCTCTTCTGTGCCTAGACGCCCGACCTGAGCATTCAAGTCTCCAGCTAGTACTACAATATCTGTCGAACGCACTTTCTGGAGAAGAACGGATAACTGGTGGTAAAACTCATCCTTGATTGCATCCGGGCTGCAATCTGTCGGGGCATAGGCGGATATGACGAAAAGACATCGTTTCTCACGCCGATTTCTTCTCACTTCTCACTCGTTAAATAACATCTCCAAACCCTAATCTTCCCGATTACTGCTTATACTCTTGCTACCTCTACCACTACGGGATTTGAATCGACCACTGCATCTCTGTGCTAATGTGGTATGGCAACTCGAACTGATGTACGTACGTACTAAGTTCTACGTTGTTACTGACTGACTGAAACTATTAATATTCATGTTCCTCTTATTATAAGCTCTATTTTGACCTATGAACCATCATTATACGTTTCACCATTCTTGAATTATGCCCTGTCTATTAGTCACTGCCTTCTAATCGGCGGTTACAAGTTATAACAAACTGATACCTGAATGTCTTCAACAAAAATCTAGTATTTTAATAATAAAGAGTTTAACATACACAAAATTAAACTTACAGTTACATTATTAGGCCAGCAAGGATGAAAAAACTCTTTCTTTCCTTCAGTAATTAACTTGAAATGTTCAGTTGCATTATATAACATTGAATAACGTGCAGACATTAGTCCTAGGCCTAAGTAACTATGTGAATAGATCTGTAAGAAGAAAAAAATGTAAATGTGAATAACTACCCACACTACTACTGAATAGTTAAGGACAATCTGTAGACCATGAGACTGGTTTCATAACAGCTGGCACTAAGCCGTCGGCATCAGGCTATACAGGTCAAAATAACTCCACAGAGAGTTGGGAGGCTCACTCTAATCTATAGCAATGGCAGTAACCATAGTATCATACTATATAATCTTTAGCCCTGATCCAGACCTGCAGAATACCGCAATTTAATCACAAAACTACTAGGTTATGTGATTTGACATTATAGTGTAATTATTTGATGATAAGTAGTTGGAGAAAATCAATAATAGTAAGTCCTGGATCCAGTTTTTATGCCGATCGATATTTCGTCTAGTATACATTGATAAAAACCGACTAACACTACGGATTGAATAACATGATTTAGGTTTCTATGAAATGACCGATTACTGTAAGGTATACATCTATTATATTTGATCTAGAATGGAATATATGATTTGGTTACTTAAATAAGCTATAGATATATTAAAAAAACATAATTTACTGACCATGCACAGATAAGATGAAAAGACTCGTTTTTAAACTATAATGTACCCATGATATGACTACAGTGAAAAAGTTAAAGGTTGTTTGCAAATCTATTGTATGGCATAGCCTTAAAAGTGGCTAGCAATGAAATCCAGGACGTGTGTTTCGTTTTATTTGGGACTCGTCAACCGGATGTACCTGCATCCCTGGATTCCACTGCTAACCACTATCCATCTTTGCTTAGAAAGCTTGTGACTTAAGGCTATATCGAGGCAATCCGCACAGGATACACATATGCCAACATGAGACTGATCAATTGAAGTTCTAAATAACAATGGAAAGATATAAGTAAAACAACACCAAGTGAATTTACAATTTGAATACAATTCAGATAATCAACTTCACTGCATAAAATAGATAAGTGCTGCTTCTTATCATATGAATCGGTACTTATAATAACCAACAGATTTAACTTAAACGTACAATTCACTAGCTAACTAGATGTTCATGACAAAGTACTCAGTTTCGTAGTAGTTAAGCTAAGGGTAACAGTAATTATATCCATTTAACCAAACCCAAAATGTAAGTGAAATAGATTTCAGTCATTCTAGCAGAATAGCATGAATTCATTTTTTATTTCGTTGGTTCTCGTCAGCTGCTTACAACCTGTGTGGCAGCCAAACGTCAAATTCTGTATAAAACAACATGCTCAATAACTCAATCAAAAGTTGATAAGCATCCTTTTCATGTTACCGCCAATTGTATTTATAAATTTACGTGTACCTGCCAAAGCAGCTACATTGGCCGAACAGAAAGGAGGGCATATCTCAGATTTTTTGAACATGTTCCAAAAAGCCTCAGAACAAGAGAAAGAAAGACTCTAAATAGTGCAATCACCAAACATCTTGATACAGGACATCAGGTCGATACCCTACAATCATTCAAGGTGATTAGTAAGCAGCCAAACTCCATTCTTCTGAAGTTTGCTGAAGCAGTTGCTGTCAGGCGCCAAAAGCCTGATTTATGTGTTCAAAAGGAGATGGTTATTAATCTTTCCTTGCCTTGGTGATTAATATTCCTTCGTTATATCTTAATAATTTCTTTTTCTTTAAACTTTTTCTTGCATTTATTACACCATTATTTTATCAACTGAACTCTACTCATTTTATTCCTATCAAGGTTTATTTGTTTCTAACCGTTTGAACTGTTATCACAATGTTTTTTCATCACATAAGGTATATATTTACAATATTCAGTCTATTCAATTTATTTACACCCTTGCTATACTATATGAATATGTCTTTAATATAACTTCCAATCAAACTCTTTTATGTAAGTAATTTAATCCCATTAATTATGATTTTAAATATCACAGGTTGTAAGCAGCTGACGAGAACCAACGAAATAAAAAATGAATTCATGCTATTCTGCTAGAATGTTTGTTCTTGCTCTTTTCAAAATGATAAAGGGAACTATGTGTATGAGATTTCAGTCAATTAGATACTAAATCACAAATTTATGTGAACAAATGAACAAATAACAACACAATAAAATGTACAACAATACTTTTTGTTTCGGTTTATCACTACTATTTTGTACGTCAAAATACGTGATAAAATCATCAGGTGCATTGTTGAGAGTATTCAACTCAGTGGGAATAAATGTGATTTGTGTAGAACCTCCACCTAGATCTAATGTACCAATTGTTTGTGTAAGTGAATTTTCAATCACTGCATTCTTCTTTTGTGCTTTTCCATTTGATAAACGATTATTGAGAAAGTTTAATGTCAACCATAAATATAGACCTTCATAAAATCCATCCATAATAGTTACAGCGTTAGGTAATTGTTTAAAACAAGTTTGAGATAATCTATGTCGTACCTGGATGGATAGAGAAACAAATAAAAGACAATACATATCAGAATGTAATTCAATCTTAAATGACTTGGATTATCTTGTTGTCACACAACACTTTACAGTTATAAAGCAACAATTATTATTGTGTTAGAATAGATGAAATATTAATGTTGAATTAATCCATTTTCACATTGAAAATGATGAATTTCACGTCAATTGAATCTTAAATACCACAGTCAGTCAGTAACAACGTAGAACTTCGTACGTACGTACATCAGTTCGAGTTGCCACACCACATTAGCACAGAGATGCAGTGGTCGATTCAAATCCCATAGTGGTAGAGGTAATAAGAGTATAAGCAGTAATCGAGAAGATTAGTGTTTGGAGATGTTACTTAAAGAGTATAATACAGTGAAATAAGTTTGGGAAGAGAAAAAAAAGAGACAAGCAGGAATCAGATTAAAATTTGGGAGAACACAAAGAGTGTATGCACCTGCGCCATTGCAAACGATTTTCAGCCATTTCATTCAAGGTCTCTAACCATCGGTTGCTATCATCTCGCGGTCCTTAACCAGGTAGTCTACAACTACCGACATGACTCAGTCCACTTGTCAGTGACTTCATGAACTTTTGCCATGTTTTGGTCTGGCCGCCCCTAGCTTTCTTCCAACCTACTCCTATACCACTGAACATCGTACGTCGAATACCACAAAATAATATAAAATACTTCTAACACATTGACTAAGTAGATCCATATTAAGAACATCTATTGCCGCCAAATTACACGTAGCTTCCATAACGAAGTCAATACTGACACGGCCAACTTGACGACAAGATGCTATAGATCGGTTCATCTGTGCGTGTTTATCAATTTGACCGTTCCTGTTATGCTAGTTACATTGGCCATACTTAAAGGACCTTATCTTTAAGCGTTCGTAAACACCTGACGGCATGTTCAATGGAGAGTTTTACGACGTCTATCAATAATGCCACTCTTTCCGACTTAATTGGCTATAGACATTACATTAAGTTTGGAAATGCCTTCTCAGTTCCTAATTATCTACCAAAAAGCACAAGATTACGCTTACCCTATATGGCTGAAGCACTTGGTATCAACTTGAGCAAACCTAACCTACGCATCGCGAAAAAATACATCCAACTTGTTATCTCATTCTCAGTTCCAATTTTATTAGTATACAAAAATCTTACTCCGCTTCACTGTGATTTGCACTCTCTTCCATGTCATCCTTTTATCTTCAATTCTTATCTTGTATTAGAACTTGCTTTTACAAACCATTTTAATCCACTGATTCGAACTTACCACCTTTTAACATGTAATATCTCTTGCCCTTTATATGTAACTACTCTTAACATTACAAATGACGTGTTATGTAGTAATTAAGATTGATTCGATGTCAAATTTGGCTTTTTCAATATATTTTACTAGTTGAAATCATGAGTCAATTGAAGCTAGACCACTATGGAAAACCTGGAAGCAATAAACGGTCGTTTCGTCCTAGTATGGGACTCCTCAGCAGTGCGCATCCACGATCCCGCTCCCTGCGAGGTTCGAACCAAGGACCTATTTTCAATATATGACATGAATTAATAAGATTTTAAAATTTTATCTATGGCGGCATAGTAATTTTCTTCTGGCTAACGCATTTTTGGTAAGGTTGTTTTTCACTGGACGGGGTTGTTAACCTCATTTATGTTCAACCCTGCTCCTTTATCCGGACTTGAGACTACCAGAAATCCTAAAAGAGCTTCCAGGTAGAGCTTTTTATACAAAAGAGTTATGACACTTTATGGTGAAAGTTGAGATTCTTCGAAAGTCGTGAGGTGAATATCCCTTCTGAAAACTAGAGTAAAGACTGATAACAATAATAATTTTGAATTTATGATTGTAGAGACTGGTGAAAAAGTTATTGAAACAATTCTTCACCACAATACTCTTCGTTCTTAAATATCCAATAAGAATTTCTAAATTCAAATTTTTTTAATATACAGCATTTGAAAGTACAGGTCTATTTACTTAGTTTTGGGTGACACTGTTTCAATCAGTCAGTAATGGTTACGTAGAACCTAGCTGCATATGTGCATCACTGCAAGTTGCAACACTGTATTAACACAGAGAGATGAAATTACTAAGACAAATCCCATGGTAGTGAAAGTAGTAACAATATCACTGATAATAGAAAAAGTTAGGCATGAACAATATAATTCGAGAAGAATAAATCCTTGAAATGAAAAGTATTAAATAATCTTAACACTAAAAACTTGAGGGGGGACGAACAGTTAATGTATATAAACATTGCGATCCATCCTATCCCATGTCATCCAACGTCTTCAACCTCTGGTTATGGTAATAGAGCAGATCAGGCACAGTGTTTATGTCAAGGTTATTGATACTGATTGGACCAAGCCGAAACAGATAGATGAGGGTTTGAAATAGGGAAAACTGTTAGTTGAAAGTTTAGTAATTCAACCACTAAACTATAACTATTACTACGTAATGGAAATTCCTTAAATGATTATTAGCCTTTAGATCACTTAAAACTTTAAAATAAAATCGTTAAAAATTTATATCCAATTAAATCTAAGCAAAGAAATAATAGTTGAGTTCATGAGTCAATTAAAGCCAGACCACCGTAGGAAACCTGGAAGCACTGAACGGCCATTTCGTCCTATTACGGGACTCCTCCTTAGCAGTGCGCATCCACGATCCCACCTCGCGAAAATCGAACTGTCCAGTGCTTCCAGGTTTTTGATTATGGTCTAGCTTCGATTGACTCATAAACCCAATTATTAAATCACTACAATCTTCATAAAAAACCCCCTTCAGATAAAAATAAATAATACATTAAACAATAGAATAAAAACATACAGCTTTTAAAATATTCTCTGCTTTATGCGCAGAAATTAGTCGAAGACCAGCGGTAGCTCTTAAAATAACTGGAGTATTACGACACACATCAACAGGAAGACTAGTTTCAGCAATATTAATTAATTTCGTTAAACTTAATGCTGCCTCCTCTGGTTTTTCCGCATATGAAGATAAACCAGGTTGAACATGATGATATTTATCATCCAATAGTGTAAACGGTTTGAAAGGATCTAATAAGTAAGTGAAAACAATATGATGCAAAAAAACGTTTTAGTCAATTTTCTGAACACAGATGATAAGACTATGTTAAACCAAAAAAACTCATAGCTATCGTTTATTTTCTTGATAGATCACTGTAAGTTGAATCCTACTCTGTCCGTGTAATTAATGTTAGATAAATAATACAGGGAGTTAGTGAATTTTGTACATTTCATCACACGATAACAGATTATTATTATCTAAACACATAAAGTGGTACAAGGAGGCACTAAATAGATATGCGCCACATAAATCATTCGATTTATGTGAGGGCTGCAATACTGCCCAGGTGCCCGGACCGAAGCACGTGGTTTTCTTAGGGAGCCGCAACCGGAGCATTCGATCTAAAGGTTTGATTCACAAGGAAGTGAAGCAACTTTGGGAGATGCAGTCCCATGGTATCCAGTGACCAATAATTGGTTCATCTGTCCCTTGAGGATCCTGGAGATCATGTGGAGCATTGGTTTGGAATCAAAGTTTTCTATCTCCCTTAGTTAGATCCTCAATATCCACAAACCTGGTTGAATCGCCGGATATTCGCTTTTCGTCCCCTCAATTTCGTAAACAATAGTGATGCCGCGAGAAGGCAGTGGTTATATTCACGCGACCAGGATCAGGCACATATGTGTATCGGTCCAAGTTGCCATACCGCATTAGCACAACGAGATGAACACCAAATTCATAGAAGTAGTTAACTCAGTGGTGGTAATATGTAAAAGAAAGATTGCATATAAGAACATAGTACAGGAGAAGAGAATTAGTTCGTAGAAAGAACATTCACACCAATCAAACATTGAATGTTTGTATTTCATAAATTATGTTCCACCATTTCGTAACTTAATACTATTACAGGAAGAAAGAATTAGTTAGTAGAAAGATATGTAGCGATTTTAATCTCATAGTTTGAGGGTAGACAAACAGTGTATACACTCACACCATTGTGATCGATTCTGAATCATGTCACACAGTCTCCAATCATTGGGTATGGTAGTCATGCGGACCCCAACCAAGTAGTCTGAATCTACCAACATGGTTCAGGCTAGAAGTTAGCGACTTTGTGCACATATACCACGTTTGGGTTTGGTCGCCCCTAACTTTCTTCCAACCATCCCCAAAACTGGTTAGCATTGCGCATCGTGATTATTGGTGTTCAGTCATACACAGCACGTGGCCCAACCATCTCGGCTGATGAAGATTCACAACGTCATCAACTGATTTACCATTATTCCCTGATACCCTACGTCTAACCTCGCTATTACTTACCTAGTGGTCCCAGCAGATGCGAGCAATATTTCTAAGGTATCTATGGTCAAATACTAGTAGCTTACGAATATCTTCTACTCTTAATGGTCACATTTCACAGCCTTAAAGTAAAACAGAACGAACTGCCGCGCAGTATACTCGTCCATTGATTGATAGACGGAACAAAAGGAACAAAAGAAGGTAACAATAACAATTTAAACTAATCTGATATTGGAGTGAACTAATGTTGTATGACTACTGTCATTTTCTCTGAGCTGAATGTGATTTAATTACGAAATTCCCATTATCATTTTAGACAATATCATCAGCATCTACCTCATGTAGAACTGAGCATTTTTGTTATTTAACAAATATTCAATCGTTTTACCTGGGTTGAAAATCTTCACCATTAATGTTATGTGTAAATCCAACCCTAATATACGTTCAAATGGCTAATCGTACTAGCCAACCTATACCATTTCAACATACTTATTTAAGTAGTAGACTATATGGTAATTTTTCGGTTACAATGTTTCAAACGAGCACCCGAGTAGTATTCCAGCCCTCACACAAATCAACGATAACTACTACTGGCCTCAGTGTTACTGTGTGGTGCATATGTATTTGATGCCTCCTTGTGCCAATGTTTACGTGTTCTAATAAATAATAAATAAATAAGAACAAATCGTATAAGTTTATTATTGGACCAACCATACTACACTAGATGTTAACAATCTATGGGTTTTTTATTGACACTGAATAGCAAAATTTAATCATTAAGAACCAGAAAAACGTAACAATAGTTTCTATTCAGTGATTGATCATTTTAAATACCTTAAATCTATAAACAGATCCTAATGGCTCAGTGTTAGCATTTCCCACCGTGGAAATTAGTGATGTGTGGCTTGAACTCCCAAAGGGAGCACCTTGCTGATATTGGGTGTTGAACAAGTATGAATCCAGGCTAGTGGCTTTCCTAACAACTTAACATTGATTATTTCGTACATTCCAACTATGCAGTAAACAGATTAACGTATCGACGTTAACAAAAAAGCTATTAAAAAAAATAGTCAACCCTAAAGAGAGACAATGCTTAGTGATTTTAGCAATTAATTTTCATACAATGATTCATAAATCCGAAGTAACTTTGATCTGGATAGAATCATATCTGATAAGAGTTGACTACGAATACTACAGGGCGATTGTAGAGTCGCACTGAGATGACACTGAAGTCACTGACGGTTCAAAAAAAAGTACAACACTACCGTCCTTTGAATTTATCATCGAAATACATGTTACGCCAAGATGGAAACAGATAAACTCTATAGTTAGCTACCTGAATTAGTCATACTATTAACTGAAATAACACTTTATTCTGAAAACCTATTACATCTTACTGTTTGTCCCAATTTGTAATTGGGTGAATACGGAATATCCTTTTTTAATGCAATATATGTTGGGAATAAATCAAACATTTGGGTCATAAATCAACAAACACCTCGAAATCTAGTTTGATGTAATTACTAGTTCAAATAGTATAAAATGCCCTGGTACGGCCGAGAGTGGGGAGAGTCAGCTCTCCCTCGAAAAATGCTCTCACATTGCCACATGTATATAGCCTCTGACAGGGAAGTCCTACTCATTGCCTTTTCGCGGCATCACTGTTGTTTACGAAATTGAGAGGACGAAAAGCGAAACTTGGGCGCTTTAACCGGGTTGGTGGACACAGAGAGTCCACCTAGGTGAGTTGGAAAACCCCGATTCTAAGCCAATGGTGAACATGGGCTCCAGTATCCTGAAGGAACAAATGGCGTATGAACCTACTGTTGGTCACCGGCCACCATGTGACTGAATCTCCTTACGTTGCTCCACTGCCTTGTGAATCAAACCTTTTGGTCGAAGGCTCGGGGTGTGGCCCCCCTAAGAAAACTACCTGCTTTGGTTTGGGCACCCGGGCTGTATTCCAGCCCTCACGCAAATCGAGTCATTTATGTGGCGCATATCTATTTGTTGCTCCCTTGTATCAATATTTATGTATTTAAATAAATAAAATAGACACTTAATAAGGATCATTATTGTTTTAATATATAAAAATCGTATGTGAAAACAAAATTCTTGTTTATGCTGTCTAGCATGACAACAAAACATCCAACAATTAAGCTGGAAAGATGAACAAAAGATTAATCTAAGTAACAGAATATTTTAGGATGAATGAGTTTTCGACAATAGGATATATATATGTATATACAAAATATTTTCACATACCTAAGGGATTATGAACTAGTTTGAATATGTGAACACGGCTTCCAGTGCTTCCAGCGTCGAACACAACACCATATACATAGTTGGTTTTTGTCGTTGCTACTCCTGCTATTTGTTGTTTAATTTTATTATTATGATGATGATAATTAATATTACCGTTATTACTTGTATGTGTAAAACGTGTCTTACTCCAAGGGTATGGGGATATAGATACACGACCTGTAAATTTATTATCATGATTACACTGAAGTAGCCTACTAAACCATGTTGAATCAGATATGTAAAATGCTAACCATAAAAATAATAGAAGTGTGATGCCGATGCACAAATAGATAACTCTTCTTAGCTAAAAGTTGAGAGAAAAAGAAGAAAGAATAAGAAAATCATACTGCATACATTTGTGCAATTAAGAAACAAACAATGCAAAAAGAGTGAAAAATATGTTAGTCACTTTGGATAATTTAACTGGATGTTGAGATGCGGGGAGATTTAGTACTAATCTTCAACTATAGATGTTTTTCACCAGGTTGGCTTTTATGGTAATCCCTTTTATCGCGTAATGTGTCTGATGCACAAATCCCTTTATCTTTTGCTTACCCAACATACAACGGAAATATACCGACCATGGTGGTGGTTTTTATTTTGAATTTCTCAGTAGTTAGCTTTGTGAATAAGTTGTGCGCTTCTTTATAAAAACATTTGATCATAAAAAGCGATTAACAAGCAAAACTAGTTACTTGAAGCAAATCTAAAACAAGATGTACTTTTATATTTGTTCGGTTGAAAAATAAATGACCTAGAATAGATCATTATACATGTTTGGTTGGATACACCCAAATCAACCACACTGCGATAGGTAATTGTTAAATGAGGTTTAGCAATATTATATTGGTTATGGGCTGAGAATTACTTCACTACATGAAAATGCAGACGATTGATTCTTCTAATACAGAATGGAATCATCGCTAACTAAATAGGTAGGACTGATGCAAAACAACTTTTCAAACTTAATAACTAACAAGTAAATATATATATACTGAGAAATGTGATTAAACTATTTAACGTACTATTCGATGATAGCTAGATCTTAAATACGACGAAGGTAGTAGACCGACAAACAAACGCTGATAATTCACAAAAGGTATCATTGGTGATTTGTCTGAATTATTGATATAATTACTCTCGTATTCTGTGTTTAAAAGTTTCATAATTTAAATAAATCGGAATCTACCAATATCTAAAATATATAAAGAATCATCAGAGAAAGAATGAATAAATAAACATTAAACAGCGACGAAATGTAAATTTAAATCAAATTAAACTATTCAGTACATCAATAACAAGAAAATAGAAGATAAATAGGTTTACTATATCAATATGAGTTATAGATAAAGTAAGACCATGTGTTACTGATTTGCATCGATCAATTTATACACACTACAGCAAAGAAATGACCCAAAAAAGGTTGAGTAAAAGAATACCAATAGAGATGATTTAATACCAATGATAGTGGTAGGCTAAGAGAAGCAAGATATAGTTCACATTATATATATATATATATATATATATATATATATATATATATATATATATATATATATACCTCGTGGGTTATTTTTTAAATAATTTAACGTTTAGAAATCGGTTTTCTCTGTGGATACTCTAATTTACTTGAATATGAAGACACTGATAAAATGAAATTCTTTTTATGACTTAATCATTTACATAAGCGATTCATCAGATAAATGCCTTTCCATGATAATTTTGATTACTTACAAAAGAATTCAATTTCTTACCATTAATGGTAAGTACTTGTAGAACTCGGAGAGTAAGAATACGAAGTTTACAAACTGATTGGAGGGGAGCAGTTTAGGCTTCTTCAAGATTGTGAATAAACCAACTGTTTTTACATTTATCGAAACACATTTATAAGCTGATTATCCCATTTTTATGTAACCTTACCGCCAAAGAATACCCCGCATATATCAAGAATCGCACTTTGTTTCTGCCAACTTTCATCATTTGTGGTTTAGATGAGACATTTATCCGCCAACGAAGCGGCGAGTAGACTGAACAGAAATTCTCTCTGAATAGGTTGATGGGCTAAGAGAATAAATGGAATTAGTTCATTAAGTCGTTTACTGTTGGTCTAAGCCGTATGAATGAACGTAATCTCTTTGGTTGGTTTCTGTGTGACAACCGCGATCAGTGGTTGGAGATGGCTCAGAATCAGTTGAAATGGCGTAGATGTATTCAGACTTAAACCCCGAGATTCAATGACATGTCTTAACTTTTATTTCTTAAGTTGCCCGAAACCATAGTTTTCAATGTTTTATCTTTTTCATTACAATTGTAACTACTATTATTTCGAAACTTACTATTGATCTTGCTAATTTCACTTCATTGAGCTGATGCCAACTTTGGCTGAAGTAGATTCTTATCAAGTCGTATGTTTACTTATACTTACTGGCTGAAAAGCAATAATCATATCGGTTGGCATCAAAGATATGCTTTATTAGTTGAATAGGAATATGGTTTAAATGTTACAAAAATGTACATCAAAGAGCTTTTTAAACACTAAAGGCTTTCCACAATAGCGTCGCACGTAAAATAACTGCATATATGTAGTTCTTTACTACTTCAAACAACCAGTACAAGAATAAGTGGTTGCTCTCACTACCGTTGTGCCATTGATAACATCCTAGGAAAAGTACTGAAAGGCATGATAATGGCGTAAATCTTTTACTTGGATTTAAAATACGGATCTAAGTATACTTTTTTTTACTATGAAATAGTATATAACCAACATGAATAGTATTACTTAGCTGGGCGTCAGCGCGTAGTGTCAATAAAGGAAAAAGGACGTCTACAAGGCTAGCAGGAGCACTTCTCTACATTCATGTTTGATATCGAACTATTTAGAAGAGGCCAGGTTCCACAAGCAGAGCAAGACTTCTCCCGCCAACGCGTTGTAGATCCGACCTTTTACAACCAAAGTAACATCACGAAGGTGCCGAAGATGGCCCAGACTAGCATTAACCACCCTAGCTCTCAATTACTTACATCCATCAGAACTGTTTTCAGAACATCATCGATAGCAAAGTTGGAGAGGAATGGTGAGGTTGGGCAACCCTGTCTAACCCCACTTGCTAAATGAAACAATGGAAAGAGATGGTTGTATACCCTCACCCTGCCTGAGGTGTTTGTATAAAGGGTTTTTAGGATGTTAATGAATTTCTCAGGCACACCCTTTTTCAATAGACAATCCCAGAAAAGTCCTGTCTAACGAATCGAAAGAAGTCCTAATGTCGAGAAACATTACGACTGTTGGCTCGTGATAAGTATGGCGGTGTTCTAACATTTGGCGGAGAGTGAAGATGTGATCAATACATCCTCGACCAGAACGAAAACAAGCCTGCTTCTCGCGAGTCAACCTTTCTCCGGTTTTGGACAACTTTCACCAGAAAAACAGGTGTTTATGAACAGCTCTCCATGCAAGATACTCCAGGTCCATGGATCGAACACCATCAGCAATAATCTACTGCAGCAGAGAACAAACTAGTTTCCAGATGAGAAAATTAAGAGGCGCTGAAGGTGAATAGTACACACTCTACCTAGACCATTAGACTGCATTACAGAGCAAGTACTGACTGAGTATTCAAAGGGAAGCGATATGATAGACAAAAGAACACAAGGTTCTTGGGATCGGAGATAGACGTCAAAATGATGAATAGCAGTTAGCAACAACTGAAATAAAGAACTGAGGAGAGTTAATTAGAAATCTTCTGGAGGTACCTGAAAAGGAAATTGGATTAGAGGCGGTCTCAGCGACCTGAGGACGTGACCGCAGTGCCCAAGGGACAACTGCTTGAGGCCGGTCGTGAACGGCCTTTTCGTGGGAGGTTTTTGACGTGTTAGCTCCGTTCTTCAAAGAGCCTTACCGCCGGAGACGGAAATTCGTGAGGTAAGGTGAGGTGTGCATTTTTAGGGTCGACCTTTTCTAACCCCACCCCTCCTTGTGGGAAGGCAGCATCGCTGTCATACTGGTTGTCTGAAGGAAACACCTTACTACTGTCACACCTCTGTACAGTCAGCAGTACGACTTCGCCTTCGGACCTTAGGTTTGTTGCTTTTAGTCTTACCGCTCTTCAACCGGCCTGTCTGACATGGTAGGACCTTGAGGAACAGTTGTTCCAGCCAGTATAGCTCGGTTGCTTCATCACGATAGGCAAGCCCGACCACCACGTCAAGGTAGCAACAACGGTCGGGTCTACCAGGAGGTCCACTTATCGACTTAGAATACGCAGATGACATAGTCCTGTTTGGTGAAGACGCTGACAAAATGCAGAGTCTTCTGGTAGCACTGAGCAACAATGCCAGGATGTTTGGAATGCGGATTTGAAAATCTCCTTTGGCTTTTGCCAACTTACGTCACCTGTGGCGAAGGCGAGATATCCGTCTATCAATAAAAGGACGAGTATACTGCGCGGCAGTCCGTTCTGTTTTAATTTACGGCAGCGAAACATGGCCATTAAGAGTAGAAGACACTCGTAAGCTACTAGTATTTGACCACAGATGCCTTAGAAATATTGCTGGCGTCTGCTGGGATAACCGAGTAAGTAATAATGAGGTTAAGAAATGATGGTAAATCAGTTGATGAGGTTATGAATCTTCATCGACTGAGATGGTTGGGCCACGTGTTACGTATGCCTGAACACCGATTACCACGACGTGCAATGCTATCCGGTATTGGAAATGGTTGGAAGAAAGTTAGGGGCGGACAAACCAAAACGTGGCATCAGTGCTTGAAGTCACTAACTTCTAGTCTGAGCCATGTTGGTAGATGCAGACTACTTGGTTGGGGTCCGCGTGACTTTCGTAACCAATGGTTGGAGACTCTTGGTGACATGGCTCAGAATCGATCACAATGGCGTCGGTGTATACACTCCCTGTCTTCCCTTAAACTAAGAGATTAAAATCGCTTCATATCTTTCTTTCTACGAACCAATTCTTTCTTCTTGTACTATATCTCTATATGCAATCTTTCTCTTATATATTACCACCTTTTACCTAACCACTGTTATGAATCCGGTGTTCATCTTGTTGTGCTGATGCGGTATGGCAACCTGGACCGATGCACACATGTGCCTGGTCCTGCGTTGTAGCTGACTGACTGACTAATTAGAAATCACTGGTCGGTTGGTTGCAACGTGGAACCTGGTGCTTGTGTACATCGATTCGAGTTACCATACTCTATTAGCAGTCTTAGGGCGAATTCCAGGATGGGAGAGTCAGTAACAGTGTGGATGCTGTTTGAAAAAACTACACATCGAAGATACGATGCATGAAAATACAAATTAGTGAGAAAAAAAAGCATGAAAATATGAGGAATTTAGATGCCTAAAACCATGCGGAAAACAAAGGACAGATTTATTTCTTCTGTTGAAAACGATCTAGAGCAACGTCATTCAAAGTTTTAAGCATTGGTTACGAAAATCACGCGGACTTCAACTAGGTGATCAAGGGAAATAGGCTTGAGTAAGTAGGCGGGTCGCAGTTTATGATATAGGATCATTAATTTCGGCCGCATATTATAATTATAACGCCTATAGTACTACACTACAGGAACGTCAAACTCTGAGCGTTATACAATTACGAAAATGCAAAAAATGTAGCAAAGAAATTTATTTAGACTAGAATATGAGTAAGAGTGGTGAGCGGATTCGTCCGTATAAAACGGAACACGAGTTCAAAACTCCAGTATTCGCAACTACAGCGTGGATGGAATGCGCGTAGCAGAGAAAAGAAACAATAAAAGTGTCTGAGCAACTCCAGACGCCACAGCATGTATCTCGTTGAATGTGATCCCCGTAGCCTTATACACACCCGCAACCACAATACCTGTTGTGAAAGTCAGCATTTATGAAATTTACTTGTAATTAACATGAATGATATCGTGTTTAAAACCCCCATGACAAGTATGAAGATAGGAGCACATATCCTAGAGGATTTATGTGCCTTCAAATTGTAAAATGCTACAAGAGAAGCAACTACGTGGATGAATATGTTGGAAGTTGCGGCCCATAAAAATATCCGGAATACGATATCTTGAGGCATTAAAATTAAGCTTAAACTTACAAGAGAAATCGACAGACTCAGCGGAAGGGAAATCTGCACCAACGTTCATCGTAACATCCCAAAATTCCGCACGAAAAGGCCGTTCAATGTTTCTAACTCCGTTATCAATAAACAAATTTTCAGTCTTCCGTAAAAAGGATAGGAGGTCTATCGACCTATATTAATCCTTGCAGTTTGTAATAATGTAAAGGCTCAATCTCGTTTCGAATATATCACGTGTTTCGGTGGACAATTCGAGTTCAAATGGTTCAAATGGTTGTGGACGGAATAGAAGAAACTTTCGCTTAACAGGCTTCTGTGTCTAATAGCAGAGGATCACCAAAACCTCCAGGCAAAAACCTAGGTATGTTAACAATAAAAGAGGAAAAGAAATTGGTAAATCATAGTGTGATACTATCTTTAGTCCTTAAGAATAGATCAAGTTGCCTCTTAAAGCACTCCTGGGAAGTCGCTTAGACTAGCTCGCTCGGCAGAGAATTCCAGCATTTGACAACTCTTAAGGGGTAGAAGTTGTGTCTACAGTCCGTTCTGCTATGTTTTGTCTCCAGTTTTTGGGTGTTACCCCTTAGGTTATTGTTGTAACTAAGATTAAGTAGGTGTTTAAGGGGATATCCATAAGTGTCAATGATATTGTAAGCAATTAGAAGGTCACCTATGAGACGCCTATACTCTAATGGGTAAAGGTTAAGTGATTGGAGGTGCTCTTCATAAGTTTTAAATTTGAGTCCTCGTAATTATTTCGTGGCTCGCCGTTGGATACGCTCCAGTGTCCTTTCCTTTTAGAGTGAGGCAGGAAATACTATGTTTCCGTACTCTAAATGGGGACGGATAAAACTATTGAAGACTATATGGAACGTTCACCCGTCGAACTGGCCAAAAATGAGCTTCAACGTTTCCAGTGCGAGGTTTGCTCAGAAGGCATTTTCGTCACAGTTAGCATAAGACTTCAAATCGTAGGGCACCAGGACTACTAAATCATTTTCGACTTGGGATACTACTAGAGAGGAGTTTTCTAAGTTATAACTGTAGTCTACGACATGTCGCAGATGGACTACTTTACACTTTGAAGTGTTAAAGGTAAGTCCGTTATCGTCTGCTTAACTTTGAAGTCCAGTCAGACCCTCCTGAAGTGCCCATATATCATCTTGGTTGCGTATCGCTCTTTAAAGTTTCACGTCATCGGCAAAGAGTAACACTTCTGACGTTACCTGTTGAGGATGATCATTTATGTAGATCAAGAAGAGAAGAGGGCCTAGTACTGAGCCCTGTGAGACCCCACTAGGACATTCCATAGCCTGAGATAAAGTGAAATTAACCCTGACCTTAAAATGTCGATTTTTCAGATATGAAGTGAGCCAATCGATTAGAGGTGGTCTGATACCCACTGGTTTGAGCTTATTGATAAGATATGTTTGGTTAACTTTATCAAAAGCTTTTGAGAAATCTAGGTAGATGATATCGACCTTCCCCTTGGGATCGAGGATGCTTGTCCATCTGTCCACCGCAGTCAACAGGTTGGTCATACAAGAGTAACCCTTCCTGAAACCATGCTGTTGAGCTGAGAGGAAATTTAAGGACAAAAAATAGTCATGCATATCATCGCATATCAGAGACTCCATGATTTTTGAAGGTATGGAGAGAATAGCCACCAGTCGGTAACTTGAAGGTTCGCTGCGTCGACTTACTTTGAAAATTGGTGTGATGTGAGCCAGCGTCCAGTTTTCCGGTAATTTGCCTCGGCTTAGCTAGTGTGAAAACATCACGCTAAGCGGCGTTGCCAGGATTGAGGCTGACTCCCTCAATATGGCAGGATGGACCATATCTGGGCCAGGAGTA